ATATGCTTAACCATGCTACTTAATATTATTAATCATTTCGTCCAGACTTCCACCATACATCTCTCTCCTGCGAGATTCTTTTCTTAGGAAAAATGGAATCTTATCATCAATTATACAATACATACACACATATATATATATATATATATATATGCTTTTTCTCTTCTTTCTAATTGGTTTATGTTACTATGTAGGAATGAAAGACTAGGGTACAATATTAATAATCATGATAGTTATATGCATTTTAAATTATCATATCATATGTTTAATGGCTAGTTAATTGTGATTAGAGTTTCGCAAAAGCAAAATAAAAAAATATTGTGAGTAGACCTTTCTTGATGATGTTATATAAACCAACGAGTATGATACGAGAATTCACACACAATGAAATTGTGCGTGTGCAAAAAAATTGTCCGTAATTCTAACTTTATATACAAACTTTATTGTTGTAAACCAGTTATTTCTCATTCTTTTGTTAAAAAAAAAACCGTCTTTATAGAAATTCAAAACAAATCAGGAATTGCCAAGACATCTAACTATGATTAAGAAAATAAACGAACATAATAATATAGACAACACTAAAACGACAACCATTTAATTGAGTAAGTAAACGATTCGAAATTTGAATAATTCTTTCTCACAAATAATTTTCAAAGAAGACCTAAAATGAAACGGTTTAGATCATTAAATAAAGGGAACTTTAACGAAAAGTTTCTGGTACTGTTCATTTTAACGAAAACACACATTTTTACACAAAAAAATCAATCCTAGTACTATTACCTTTACCTTATATTTTATCCTTATCGTTAAAACTTAAAGTTTTCAAACCATTTTCATTAGTTTTTCTTTAAATATAATGCGGTGTAAACAAATCTTATCCGACCCGAACCCTAAACAAATCCTATCCGACCCGAACTCTTAACGGCGCCTACGCGCAACCAAAAGAGCGCCAAATTAACGGAAAAAACCCCAAAGCACGAGAGCCACGAAGCATGTTCAGTCATGGCAGAGCAAGCGCGAGTGGGCTCATAAACGGGGCAAAGGAGGCGGTGGCACTCATCACCCAGCCGCGCACGTTAGCTTCTCGTACCCTCTTCCCTTCTCGCCTAGCTAACGAACGCCTCGCATCCCATTCTCCCCGCCCCTACTCCACCATGAACCGAGACGACGACGACCCAATCGAAGCTATATTCCGGCAGAAGCGGTTGCTCCGGTCCAGAATCCGCAAAGAGCTCAAGAACATGGACCCGGTTCGGAGGTCCGAAGAAGGTAGTCCGTTCAAGTTCGAGCTTCCTCAAATTGCCCTCTAAGTATTTGTGTTTTTGTCTGACTGAAAATGTTGAACTCTCAGATGCTGCAATTCAGAGCATTGTTTTAAATGCTCCTGGTTCCAATCTAGTAAGAGCATATGCGCTTACATAAGCCCTCCTGCTTTACGAGAAGTCGATACGTCAAGAATTGTTTCAGAAATTCTATCCAAACCTGCCAATGGTGCTGGTATAATATAGCATTTCTGTGTGTTCATAATTCGTGTGCTTTTTGTTGTTGTGCTTAAACTTTTGGAGATCCTTACTGTTGGTTTCAACTCAAGAGGGTGATGTGCAGAACAGGAAAAAGCTTTTTGTTCCTCGTGTGGAGGATAGGAATAGCAACATGAGGATGCTTAGGATTTCCAGTGTTGATGATCTGATCGTGAACTCGATGGACATTTCGGAGCCAGCTCTTTTGGATTGTGATGGGAAACAACACGAAGATGGTACTCTTTTTCTAAACTATAATTTGCACGAGTAAATGTTCTCGATCTGTTTATAGTTATACATTCATTTGTGCTAAAATTTGTTTTCAATATTTTCCTATTAGAAGTAGTTTCTTTTTCGGTTGTTGGTAATGGCGGTTAATTATTTGGAGGACCTATTTGTTGCAGTTTTGGAGGCAAGCGATCCAGTTGACTTGTTCATCCTACCCGGTGTGTATTTTTTTCTTAACCTTGCTTGTAATTACTTACCTACCTCAGAAAACTCCGATTGTGGGAGACTTGAAAGTATAATTTCATGTTATCTCAATTCAGTTTTTATTCTAGGGCTTGCATTTGACAGATGTGGAAGGCGTTTAGGCCGTAGTGGAGGGTAGGTTGATGCATCTTTGCTTCAGATTTTCACATTATCTTCATTTCTAACCACGATAGAGTTCGTGTGATATGTTCATTTAGATGCATGATCACTGGACTCTAATAAGGCTGTTTAGTGTTTGATAATTTGAATTGTTGAACATGGAAGCTACCTGAAATCTAGACCCATAGGAATGCATCTCGTTCATTAATTTCTTATCTAAGATACTGGTATATCTTTGCTGAACTATTTGATTGCCTGGTTGAATCTTGAAGTTACTATGATTTGTTCCTAAAGAAGTACCAAGAGCTTACGAAGGAACGACAATGGAAGGAGCCCCTTCGAGGTAAATAACAATTGTTGTTAGTTCAACGGTAACTCGTAATTATGTATGGTCTTGGACTTGCCGATAGTGCTTGATAGTACAGTTTTTTCATGATGTCGTCTTCTCTATGATTTGGTTGCAGTTGCGCTGTCATATTCTGTACAGATCGTGGAGGAAGGAGCCATAGCTGTCACTTCAAATGATTTTTCTGTGGATGCTCTTGTATCTCCAGCCGGTGTCATTCCCATAAGCCCTGCTGCTCAGGAGAGGTGAAGCCTGAATAAGGATTTCGGCATATCCTATATCTTTCTAAAACCCACCAGGGCAAATCGGGATCTCACAGTTCATCTTTTATTTGCCTCTAATCCAACAGGAGTATGGGATAATCAACGGATTTGTTTTCAAGATGGACCGCAGTACAGAGCGCCATCATTGTTGCAAGAATCTGTTTTAGCTGCTTCATCTGTCTTCCAAGATAATCTTGTCAATTACTAAGCACAAGCTAACGGACATAGCCACCTTCCAGCGGTCCTGCCTCATTGACGATTGTCTATTTGGAGGTGCATAATGCTAAGAACCTTGTTTGCTGGATTTGCCTCCCGTCGAATTCCTGAAAATTTTGTTACAGAAAGAACGGAATCGAGGATATCTATATATATATGTAACCAACTGTACATTGTTGCCTAATTATGATCCGAGTTTTTTGTATTTCTAATTTTTAGAAAGTAAAGTAGCGGATAAAATGTTTGAAAACTAACCAAATATGTTTAAGAGTATGCTGTTTGGCTAAGAGAGTCATCCCCCTCATCTGCAAATGGCAGTAACACGACTGCGGAGAACTACCATGGTAACATGCCTGAAATCAACAAAAACAGTAACGCGACGGCCTGACAGTTATACTATAAGTACTTTTTTCATAATTATTATGTCAATGATATCTATTGTCGCCAAAAACTAGGAGGACAACTAATAACTTTGAGGGAGTGGAAGTCGATGGATTAGGTCGTAGTTAGACATAATAAATACAGACTTATAGCGGTTCACCTATAATTTGACTACATTCACTATGGTTGTATTTGTATTGAGTATCTGAAGAGCTATGACATTTATATGGAGGGAGAGGGGCTTGAGAGCTCTCTTTGGGAGCTTGGACACTTCTCTCCCTTTCTTGTGATTGCCATCCCTCCTAGTGACGGGTTTAGGATTTGAATTTTGGAGGTCATAGTGTTAAATACTAGTTTTTTAGATAAGAACAAAGCGCGAAGCATGTAAGAAATAAATCAGTTTATTCTCTTAGTGGGGTTGTTGTGCACATGTCTACAGATATCCGACATATACTGAAGTAATATGATGAATGATATAGAAAAAACTTGTCGAGTGTTATCCACGCAACATATCGAGTTATGCCTAGCATGCATTACGTTAAACATTTAATAAGCACAAAGTAGACCTATACCAAACATTCAGAATGTTCTCAAAATATCTTTATATTATATTGTTGTAAAATCGGCGGTATGTGTGCAGTAGAATAAATTAAACAAGACACAAAATTTACGAGGTTCCTCTACGATCAGTGTGACTGAAGTATGTCCTCGGGGTAGCAGTGATGCTTTCATTTATAATCTGAAATAATAGGAGTACAAAGATAACTCTCTCTATTCTCTCCTCTTCTTCCTTCTGTTTCTCTTCTCGGCATAGAGTTGTGTGTCAGCTCTCCTTCTTCTCGTTCATTTTTAAAAGCAAAAGATTACTGTAGTAATACTATTCACTTTACAAATTTTCTTGATTAGTGAAAATACTGTGCATGAATAAACTCATCCATTTTTCTTCATATGAATAGTAATCCATATTTTTCTTTAGACGAATAGTAACAAATTATTCATATGGGCCATCCACATATTATATTACAAGATATATGTATATTTTCCTTACTCAGATAGTCTGGGACCACTTGGCCCCTATTTCCATCCGCTCTTGACCCCTCCATGTGCAGGAATAGTAATTCATCTGATTTTTTTTATATAAATAATAACAAACTATTCATGTGGGTCATCCACGTATTATATTACAACATATATGTATATTTTCCTTACTCAGATAGTCTGGGATCACTTGACCCCTATTTCCATCCGCCTGACCCCTCCATTTAAAGGCCCATGTTGACAAGTTTGCGTAATTTAGGGATTGTTGTGGGGCTGCTTGGCCCTCCATCTTTAATGATTTTTTGCTTCTTTTCCCAAACCTTCCCCCAAAAGGTTTCTATATCCTAAGCAAGGAAATAAATTTCAGCGTGTTCAGAATATAAAGTAATATATAAATAGTGAGATATTTATATTAAAAAATTACAAATAAAATTAAAATTTTTTCCATTTATATAATGAAATGTGATGTTCTATCGTTCCTCCAAAATGATTAAATTTTAATAAGCACGTTCTCCTCTAAGTTATTATCTTTACATTTTTATTTTAAAAATTTTAACAAAAAATCATATTTTTATACTAAAAAATCAGTTGTGGTACCGTTCATTTTACTTTTAACTCAAAGTTTTCTTTATTTCATTAGTTTCCTTGTTTTTTTTTTTTGTGGAGGGAATCTGTGCTCACTTCTTAGCTAAACGAACGAACATAATGTCGAACGCGTAGACGCGCAAACGAAGCAAATGGCGGGAGAAGACGACGACGGCGACGCCGTTTCGTCAACCCCGGGTGGCTTCCGGCTACGCTGGGACGTGTTCCTGAGTTTCAGAGGAGAAGACACCCGCACAACAATCACGAAGAGCTTGTACGAGGCCCTCAAAAGCCGCGGCGTCCGAGTCTTCTTTAGACGACGACGGTTTGGACCGCGGGGACGACATCGCCCCAAGCCTGCTGGAAGCGATCGACGACTCGGCGGCCGCAATCGTCGTCTTGTCGCGGAGATACGCCGATTCGAGGTGGTGCTTGGAGGAGCTGGCTAAGATATGCGAGAGCAGCAGGAGGTGTCTGATTCTGCCTGTGTTCTACCAAGTGGATCCCTCCGACGTCCGACGACAGAGGGGCCCGTTTTCCGAACATTTTTCAGCTCACGAACTGCAGTATGGAAACGCCGTCGTGTCGAGATGGAGGAGCGCCATGGCCAAAGTCGGCGGCAAAGCCGGTTACGTTTGCGAACTCCTCCAGGTAGTAATTAAATCAGTAATAGTACTAAAATTGATTCATAACTAATTTCTGTTAAAATCCCACTCAATCAGTTAAAGATCTGTTAAACCCCTATCCAGCTATCAGCAGCATGCAGAAATTGAGATGATTAAGAATTTGATTATTTTTAAGGCCCCGTTTAACGAAACTCAAAATTTTAATTTTTTTCTATATCACATGTTTTGATTTAAAAATTTTAAATTTAAAACCTTGTTTGGTATGCATTTTCTCAAAACTAATCCAAACAGAAAAAGTCAAACGCCCAGCTCAAACAATTACCCGACCACCACATCCCTCACTTCCCTAGCGGCGACTCCTTTGGCTATTTACCAACTCCTTACTCTAAACTCGCTCTGACAGAGGCTAACCATGTTGGCGGTCTCAAACCTCAGATCCAACGACCATAGGGAAGATGTGGTGGCTATGGTGCTATGGTGGATGCAAGTGAGAAGAGATAAGATTGAAGAGGCAACAGAGAAGAGAGGATTGAAGAGGCGGGAGAGATCGATTTGTCTTGGCCGGACGGAGAAGGATAGAGGTGGTGACTATGGTGGATATAAGCGGCAAGGGATTGGAAAGGCAATAGAGAAAAGAGGATTGAAGAGGCAAGAGGGAAGGGAGAACATCGAATGGGGAGAGAGGAGAGAGAGGGAGAGAGAGACGGGAGTGATAATCCATAAAATAATAAAAACACACTTTTTGTATTTTCAACCAATAATCCTTGTTTTCAGATATTTTTGAGTTATGATTTTGAGAATGGTATTCAAGTTCATTTCCAAACAAAGATTTTAAATTTGTGACTCAAAATCTTATTTTTGACTTAATGTTTAAGGTTTTTTGGAGTCTTTTGGAAGTGTGGAATTTAAATAAGTTAATCTTACGGCCTAGTTGAACTATTTGTTTATTCATATTCATATATAATATGGTTTGAGTTTTGGCTGCAGCATGCATTTGGATTTGGGGATTTGTCAAATCTCAGTTTTATATAATATCTTCTTCTTCCCAATTAACTATCCTTTTCATTCAGGTTACAATTTAAAGTTTCACACTGCAGTTAGGGTTGAAAAACTAAGTCAAAATACCTAGGATTAAGATTATGGAGCAAAATCGAGCGCAGTGGCGTTCTAGGAGTCGTAATACAGCGTCCCCATTCTGTAGGATAAAACTTTGTTGTTGTTGTATGATTGAAGCAAAATGTTAATCAAATTAAGTTGGTCATAGTTTTTTTCAATTGATCACATGATTCCTCTCTTGGTTAGTTTGCTTCATGTCTTTGAAATCTTAATCCAAAAGATTAGAGGTGTAAAAGCTAAAGTGATCTTTTGTGCTCATCACCCCAAGAGGCAAACTAATGTAGTTGTGGTCATGTAATTTGACAGCAAGGAAGCAGAGGTGGTTCAGGGGTTGGTCAAAAAGGTTTTGAATGAAATAAGGAAAACCCCGGTAGGTCTTGCTTCCTACACAGTGGGACTTGATTCTCGAGTTGAAGATGTGATGAGGTTGTTAGATGTTCGATCCAATGGCGTTCGAGTGCTCGGAATTCATGGCATGGGTGGTGTTGGCAAGACGACTCTTGCCAAGGCCCTTTTTAACAGACTTGTTGCTTACTTTGAGCATCGCGGCTTCATCTCAAATGTTAGAGAAACTTCTGCAGGACACGAGGGGTTAGTATCGCTTCAAAACAGACTTATCGGTAGTCTTTCTACTGCGAAGATGCCGGTAAATGAACTTAACGCTGGTATTTCTGCAATAAAAGCGAGTGTGTACGAGAAGCGAGTTCTTATTGTTTTGGATGATGTTGATAATGTAGAGCAACTAAGTGCTTTAGTTGGCAACAGAGACTGGTTTTATGAAGGAAGCAGAATCATTGTTACCACAAGAGATAGAAGTGTCTTGCCCGATCATCTTGTGAACAAGTTGTATGAGGTCAGGGAAGTTGGATTCGTCTCAGGCGCTTGAACTGTTTAGTTACCATGCACTGCGAAAAGAAAAGCCCCCTGATGATTTCCTGGCCCTGTCCGAGCAAATTGTGTCTCTCACAGGTGGGCTACCGTTGGCTCTTGAAGTTTTCGGCTCTTACCTATTTTATCAGAGGAGAATAGAGGAATGGAGAGACGTTCTGCAGAAACTGAAACAGATTCGTCCCGGCAATCTTCAGGATGTGTTAAAGATAAGTTATGATGCTCTAGACGAGCAAGAGAAGTGTATCTTCCTAGACTTTGCATGTTTATTTGTGAAAATGAATATGAAGAGAGAAGATGCAATTGACATACTGAAGGGTTGTGGTTTTGATGGTGAGATAGCAATTGCTGACCTCACCGCAAAATCTCTCATGAAGGTTTATGAAGACGGCATGCTTTGGATGCACGATCAAGTTAGAGACATGGGAAGACAAATCGTTGTACATGAAAGCGTTGTAGATCCTGGCATGCGTAGTAGACTTTGGGATCGTGATGAAATCTTGAATGTCTTCAAGGATGATAAGGTGCAGAATCCACTATGGTACTTTTATTGTTCACATATTCATGTAACACAATTTCTAGATTAGATGTATAATTGTCTTGATATTTCTTCACTCAGTTTCTTATATATGTTTTGATACCTTGACAACAGGGAACAAGATGTATACAAGGGATAGTCTTAGACTTCGAATCATCGATAAGGAGGGTGTGGGATCCAAGTGGTGAGAGAGTTTCGTGGGACAACTTTCGAAAAAGCCCCAGTTTTTGCTCTGCAGTAACATACCTAAAGGAAAGGCACAAAGCTTATCTTCAAAATCAAGCAGAGAAAAAGAGAAAGGTTGTAATTTGCTCCAAACCCCTTGGAGCAATGGTCAATCTTAGACTTCTCCAAATTAATTTTGTGAATTTGGAAGGGAAGTTCAAGTTTCTTCCAGCTGAGTTGAAGTGGTTACAATGGAAAGGTTGTCCTATGAAATTTCTTCCTTCTGGATTTTTCCCCTCGGCGACTTGCTGTCCTTGATCTTTCAAAGAGCAAACTTGTAAGTTTGTGGAGCGGGCGTAACAAGGTATGCTTCATTCTTTGATCAATCATCTGCTTTATCCTTTTCTATCCTACTCTTTGGTATCTGCTTTACACTTTTATGATTTTCTAAGCTAGTTTTCTCTGTAATACAAAGGGTGATTTTGATTGTATTCCAGGTGCCAGAGCAATTGATGTTCTTGATTCTACACAAATGCTCTTATCTAACTGCTATACCTGATTTATCTGGTAACCGCGCCTTGGAAAAGATTGTTCTTGAGCTATGTGTTAATCTCAATAAACTTCATGACTCGGTTGGGAATTTGAATACATTAGTCCACTTGAACCTGAGAGGTTGTTCAAACCTTATTGAACTTCCCAGTGATGTATCTGGCCTGAGAAAACTTGAGAACCTATTCCTCACCGGTTGCTCAAAATTGAAAAAACTGCCCAGCAACATGGACAGCATGGTATCATTGAAAGAACTTCTCCTTGACGAGACAGTGATAGAGAGTCTTCCTGAATCTATCTTCAAGCTTACGAAACTCGAAAGGCTCAGCTTGAACCGATGCAAATTTTTGAAAGGGCTACCTGAGTTGATAGGAAAGTTGTGTTCTCTCAAAGAAATATCCCTTAATGAATCAGCTTTAGAAAAACTACCCGATTCATTTGGATCTTTGGCAAACCTTGAGAGACTAAGTTTGCTCTGGTGTAATTCACTGACCACCATTCCAGATTCCATTGGAAACCTGAATTCGTTAGTGGAATTTCTTACTTATGGTAGTCCTATCAAAGAACTGCCTGCGTCCATTGGTTCATTGTCAAACTTGAGGGAGTTATCGGTGGGGCGCGGCGAGTTTATGAGAGTATTGCCTGATTCAGTTGGAGGTTTAAATTCTCTAGTTGTGCTACAAATAGATGAGACATTAATCACAAATCTCCCACATGAAATCGGTGCCTTGAAAACACTTGAGAAGCTTGAGATGAGGAAATGTGGATTTCTTAGATCATTACCGCAGTCAATCGGAAAGCATGAGGGGACTAACTGCTATAGTCATAACCGATGCTACTATCACAGAGTTGCCAGAATCAGTAGGGATGTTGGAAAATCTTACCGTGTTGCGCTTGAACGGATGTAAACAGTTACGCAAGCTTCCAGCTTCGATAGGACAACTCATGTCCTTGCACAGATTGCAGATAGCGAATACTGCGGTAACAGAACTACCCGAGAGCTTTGGAATGCTTTCTAGTTTGATGGTTTTAAATATGAGAAAGAAGCACCAAAAGAGGGAACACACAGAAGAGATCAATTTTATACTCCCATCTTCTTTCTCAAATCTGTCCTTGCTATATGATCTGGATGCTTATGCTTGTAATATAGCTGGCAAAATATTTGATGATTTCGAGAGGTTGTCATCACTCGAAACCTTGAACTTAAGCCGCAATAGTTTTTGCAGCCTTCCAGCCAGTCTCAGGGGACTGTCCGTTCTTAAGAAGCTTTTGTTGTCTCATTGTAAAAAGCTCAAGTCTCTGCCTCCGCTTCCCTCGAGTTTGGATAAAGTGAATATTGCAAACTGCACCTCGTTAGAAAGTATCTCTGATATTTCAAACCTGCAAAACTTGGTGGAGCTGAACCTTACAAGTTGTGATAAAGTTGTCGATATTCCTGGCCTTGAATGCTTGAATTCCTTGGTGAGGTTGTATGCGAGTGGTTGCAATGCTTGCTCATCAGTTGTTAAGAAAAGACTTGCTAAGGTCCTCTCTCTCTCTCTCACACACACACACACACCCACACACGCATGCATGCGTATAGAAATTATAACTCAGTCATAGGTTTGGAAATTTTTGTTGCAGAGCTACTTGAGGAAAATACGCAATCTTAGCATGCCAGGAAGCAAGATACCAGACTGGTTTTCTCAAGATGTGGTTACATTCTCGGAGAGAAAAAACTGCGTTCTCAAAAGCGTGATCATAGGCGTCGTAGTCTCTCTCAACCAGCAAATACCAGATGAAATAAGAGAAGAACTCCCTGCAATAGTGGACATTCTAGCAAAGATCCTCGTAGTGGATTTTCCTACCTTCACTTCAGCATTGAACTTACAGGGAGTACCAAACACAAATGAAGACCAATTTCACTTGTGCCGATACCCGACGTGTCATCCCTTGGTTTCTCAGTTAAAAGAAGGTTATAAGATACATGTGACGAGGAGAGATCCGCCATTGATGAAAGGCGTCGAGCTGAAGAAGTGGGGGATTCGTTTGGTCTACGAAGATGATGATGATTACGAGGGAGATGAAGAGTCATTAAATGAAAGCCAGCAATCCTTGTCAGAAAAACTGGCCAAGTTTTTCGGCTCGTTTGAAGAAGGTGACTGCAGCTGCACACTCCTGAATCCAGTTCTAGTGCACATGAAGAAATAGTTCAAGAAACCAATACAAGTGAACGACGATTATCATTATATGATCGAGGGTACTTCATTTCTTGCTTGGTAGTGCTCCCTCTCGTCTTTCTGTCATTGAGTTGGTTATGGCGGTGGCTATCAACTTAAACTGTCTAGTATCCTTCTGCGCTCGAGGTTCTGTATTTGATTCTCCCCTCCATTATCGCTTTTATCAAAAACAGTCTGGTATCCTTCTGCTCTGTGAAACTTTAAAACTTTTATATAAATGTGTGGGATCCATTAAGAAGACGCTTTTGATATTGGTGTGCTTTTTAAAAAAAATTATTTCTATTGTTGCGGAAGAATAAGTAGCTGGAAAATAAAGTTGTTAATTGTTTGGTTTTTTTATTTTTTTTTTAATTTTTTTATTTTTAGTAAAAGTGTTTTTAACAAAAAAAAAAAAGTCATATAAATTAGTGTGAATATGTTAGATGACTAAAAAAGATATGGTATTTAATGTGATATAATAATTGTCAAAGATAATAATGTAGGGGTAAATATTGTAATTTTGTAAAAGATGTGGGGGCATGCTTGCCATTTACAAGTCTCTTTGCGACGGCTCCCTGAAATTAGACCCAGAACTTTAGCATCCTTCATAAGTCTCTCTGCGAGAGTCATCTTCCCAGCATTGATTCTTCATTTTTCTTTCTTCTTTGCATTAGATCCATCATCCTTCTTCGAATCTGAGCTCTCAAACCCCTTTTCAACAAGATCCCACAACCCGTGAGACTTGAAAATGGTTTTCATCCTTGTACTCCAAAACTCATAGTTATTGCCATCGAAGATCGGTGTTCTCAACTCGCTACTACTAGACCCTGCCTTGTTAAACTCAGGTCACAGAACAACTCAAGCTCAATTTCGAGTTTCTTGGTAGTTCCTTCACATATCCAAATGACCAGTATCAATTGATTGAACTTGGCTCTTTGAGCCATGTTAACATTCATAAGATTGTTATCTTATGTATGAAAATCAATCAATGAGAATTGGAGATTATGAAATTCTGGAATTCAAATGGAAGTTGCAGAGAAGAAGAAGAAAATGGAAAACGTGCTTCTGCATTCATTCCTTCTCACGCACACACTTGTGACACTTGAATACCGTTAGAAAGAATAGAGAGAATGGAATATTCTCTTTATTACATCATGTAAATCTAACCATCCATTTCCTCTATCATATGAGACAGTGACACCAAGCATAAACCATCACTTGCCCTAAGATTACATCTTAGTTACACACTTGGACTGTGATCCAAGGGCTTACAGTAAAACTGAATTTTACAGTTAACCTCTCAACAATTCCAGCAATTACACTTCCACACCAACATTATATATATATATATATATATATATATATATATATATGATATGAGAAAATTTCCTTCTTAATGAAATTGTGATTTCACTGTTCCTTAAAGGGGTACAATTCAGGCAATGCAACGCATGAGAAGGGATTTAACTTTGATGATCCTAAAGCTTATGCGAGGAGGTTGGAGGAATGAGCCTAATCCTGATCTTTGTAAGGTAGACTTTTTTATTTGTTAGAAGTAGGGATGGGCAAAATACCCATGGGTATAGGTAACCGCGATTACCCGTCTATTTAAAGTTGATGGTTATGGTTATGGGTAACCGTTTAAACAAATAAACGGTTATGGGTATAACCGTTTATCCATGAAATTTAAATGACCGGTTATGGGTATTATCCGCGGTTATAACGGGTATCCATCGGTTATGGTTAATATTCATAGTTATAACAGGTATCCATTTACCCATTTAATTTAATATATGTAAAATTAAAAAAAAAAATTAAAAACCCTCAAAGTTACAACTCCGTCACTCTCTTTCTCTACCTTTCGACTTCGTCACTCTCTCTCCGTCGCTCTCTCTTTCCGTCGCTCTCTCTCTCCGTCACTCTCTCTCTCCGTCGCTCTCTCTTTGCGCCTCTCTCTCCGTCGCTCTCTTTTTGTGAGCAGCCTGGTTCACTTGCTGTAAGGGTTTTACATCTTCAGCACCGCCGTGGCCGGCGATCTGTCGCAGGCGCTGAGCAATTTGCAATCGAAGCGGAACATGAGCATTGAGGTGAAGGATGTGGTGGCGCAGAGAGACCCGCCGACCAATGGCAGCCTGCCACCTATTGTTTTGGTCCATGGGATATTTGGTTTTGGCAAAGGGGTATGTTTGTTTTGATTTTTTCAGAAATGGGTTCCGATTCCCATTTTGTGGTTCGAAATCGAATTTTGTTCATTTTTTGTAACTGGGTGTTTTGGATTTCGTGTGTTTTGCAGAGATTGGGCTGTTTATCGTATTTCGTCGAGGCAGAGAAGAAGGATGAGAGGGTTTTGGTGCCGGATTTGGGATCTCTAACCAGCATTTATGATAGGTTTGTGCTTTGGAGCCTCAAAGTATTTCCTTTTTCCGATACAGGCGATAATTGGTTAGCGAGAATGAAGTAAGGACCTCGGATATTTCCCCAATAGCTATACAGAAAAATATCATTCGTAAACTATTATTTCAATTATTGGAATTATACGAGGACTTAAATGATTAAAATAGGGAAATGTATGCTAAAATGTACTTATAACGGTGTTTAATTGTCAAAAAATAAAAATTATGACAAATTTTTCTTTTGTAATTTTCAAATTGTTAAAAAAATAATGTAGACGGGAGAAAAAAAAGGGTAAATGGGTAAAAAAAGGATAAACGGACGAAAAAATGGGTAAACGGGTAAATGGTTATGGTTATGGTTAAATGGGTAAATGGTTATGGGTAAATGGGTAAACGGTTATGGGTATGGATAACCGTTTATAAACGGTTATGGTTATGGGTATAACCATTTATCTAATTACCCAACGGGTAAACGGTTATGCGGATATGAACATAAACGGTTATGGGTAAAATAACCGCGGTTACCCGTCCGCATAACCATTGCCCATCCCTAGTTAGAAGTATATCGAAATATTCTCGTCATCGTTACTGAGGTGTGGAGCTACATGCAGCATACTAGATGTTGGAAGTTCTTTTTCTCCTTTTGTTTTAGGGGATTATGATAGCTGTTTGCACTCTGTTGAAGTTTTTATCTTTGCCATCTTGTTTTTTTCTAGTATAACGATATATTTTACACTTAAAAAGAAGGAGAGGTATTTTCAAATCTAGCCGTTGTATTTTGAGTCCAACGATACTGATTAATTTAATTAAACTACCGTTGAATTCGAATCAATTATTCCAAATAAAGAGATAGGCCCCTAAAAAGGGGCTAATGCCATCTCTAACCGAATGGGCTATGTTAAGCTCCATTCAGATTATAGTTCTGCAAGAAATTATTTTTTAATAAACACTGTCAGACCATATTTATATCTCATCTCTAACCAGAGATGGCTATTTTTTAGCCCCTCAATAATTTATTATTTTTTAAAGTTTGTTCTTCAATTTTATTGGTTAATTGAAATAAACTACCATATTAAAATAAGGGTTCTGAACATATTTTGAGTGTCACTTGTTGCTAAATGAATAAAGCTCATGACATATTTTGAGTGGCGCTTGAAGATGTGGCCATTTGAAAATTATTAAAAAAATTAAAAGAAAGTTTATTGGAAGAGGTAAGAGAGGAGTGTGCATAAAAAGAGTGTTTGATGTCAATAGAAGGTGAATAATTGAAATAAAATGAAATAAGATAGTATGAAATGGTGAAAATGATACGAGAAATAGTGTAGAAATGCTTTAGGTATTTATAGGACGAAAATTAGAATTTTTTATTTTTATTTTTATTTTGTCTTAAAAAAAATCCAGCTAAGCCCAACTGAAGAGGCTAGCTGATTGGCTAAAGATGGCCAGCCCCTGGTCATATGGTTGGATTTTTTGGCCCAGACCTCTGTTGGAAATGAGTTTTACGTAACAAATAGTTATCCTTTGGCCTATGGTCCTATGACTGGCTCAGTTGGAGATAACATAAAAGAAGAACTACATTTAAGCAGCTTCTTTGACCAAATAATAACCTGGTAGGCCCTATATAATTATAACTCAAACATCGATTAGACTTCAGTGATAAATTTTTTAACAAATCCATCAAATTTTTAGCTCCATTGGACGTGGCCTAAGTTACCAACTCTCCATCCAATCTATTATTATCCACCAATGATTTAGCTCATGGTCAACAAGTCTTCCTTCATTGGTAATGGGTAACGTGGACAAGGTTGAAGAGTCTTCCTTTCTATGTGCATGGTATATAGCATCAATAATGTCCATCTAGGGACCAGTGAGGCAGGCTCCTTCACACGAGGAATATTTTTATGGGTTCAAAATACGAAATAATACATTATATGTTTTTATACAAGTAATTAGATATTTATGTTAAAATGTTAACAATTTCAAAAGTAAAATTTTGTACAACTTGTATAATAACGGATGATGTAACACTGTATTATTGATATAATGAAAATTTTATGCTTCAACGCAAGTTTGAAATATTCCTGTAATTTAGATTATCGTCTTTAAAAGAAAAACTGAAAATTTAACGTTACCCTTGAAACTATATTTTCCTCTACTAAAAACCCATATCCTTTTGTTTTCTTGAATAAAGCACATTGACTAGCCTCCAACTAAACAAATTTTTTAATTAAGTTTGACTTTTCAAATTGTGTATTTTTTGAATGCCTAAACTACCCCTATTAATACTTGGATAGGGTTTTTGGATCACTTGTTATATCCATTTAATTAATTTTATATATTTTACAAAATAATTCATGTCATTCATTTTATATTCAATGTATTAACTTTCAAATTGTTATAATGTGCAGATTGAAAAATAATAATACTAATTTTATAATTTTGTGCATTAAATATATAAGTTAATTTACATACTAACACAATAATAAACCTAAAACAGCTTTGGCTAATACTCCAACCCCTAATACACAAAACAAAAGCTATATGTTCCGAGCAATTTTCACCTACAAAATAGTCTAATTTACCTATTCCATCAAACCAAAATTTAAAGGGTCTATTTTACTTCCAAAATGGTCAATTTACCTACATGATTTATGTGCATTAGATTAAAAGTTTATTTAGTTGCCTACAAGCACAAACCCGCAACATTCGAACATTATCTAATATTACTAATTTTTTTTAAGAATAGGTAAATTAATTTAAATGTAGGTAAATTAGTATAATATTAATAAGTAGGTAAATTAATTTAAATGTAGATAAATTATTATAATATTTTATAAGTAGGTAAATTAGTATAATATTTGTATATAGGTAATT